AGCGTTAAACATTTTATGATGGAAGAGACTGCTTGGAGCTGCCCAATCCAGAAAGCCTTTGTATGTATGAACACATCCACAATAGCTTGATGAATATCCTTATAAAGCAGGTTAGCTTTATGTAATTAGATACTCACAAGGAATTCGCAACGTGATGCTACACTGCGACAAAACTGCGTCCTTTATCGCACATCTAAACGTTATGGAATTTTGTCGAGCAAGAACAACTCAAAATTAGTATCACGAAGTCTAAACTTTGTTCCACGTAACTTTTTTCTAGCTTTAAAATTTGCTCGTATAATTAAATTGAGTCAAGACAATGGCAACTAAAGTTTCGAAAATTGCAAACTGTATCATCATAACGCTTTCTTTTTTTAGTAAGTATGCTTACACTTAAAAATTTATTGTACTACGCAGTGTACTAACGGCTTGTATATATTCCGTATTCTATCAATTTTCATCATACAACTTCATTACAAAACCCCATATTAAACAATTTAGTAGATATGGCCAGTAGAAATGTTTAGTTTTTCATATTAACATGCTTTAATTGATCATCGGAATCTGCCAATACCTGCATACAACGCATCAACGTAATACATATGCATTCTTCTGGAATGAAATATTTCTGTCTAGTATAATTTCTCTCCTTGTGTGTAAGTTGCTAGGCGATAGGAATGAATCGTTTCTTTTAGAATAATTCAGACGGCTTGAGCTAAAGACCAGAGCGACTCAAATCAAACGATAAATTTGTAGTGGCTAGCAAACCAGAAAGTAACATCTAAATTTCAGTAAATGTCTTCAAACATTAATTAGCGGCGTACATTTAGTGCCAGGTTGAGCTTATGATAATTGCATGGAAGAGTCGACATGCTAGGCCAATAGCCTCGGAATCAAGTTTATAAGATTTATTTGATTGTCCCCCACAGCCAATTGCATTAATTCAAACTTTATTTATGTTACTCAATATACTTTTTTTACTCACACTTTCGTTGATTACTGTATTTTTGTTATTACTTAAGCTGGAAGAAGGGGTAAGGGAACAAGGAAGAGTTTGAAGCGGAATAAGGACGACGTCGTTAGCGTTGGAACAAAACGAAGAATTATCAGAATGGCAAATGTAAATGTCATTTGCTCATCTCAATTACTAAGCTGAGCAAGAAGTAGATTTATAGCACACACAAGCAATGACTACTTTTGCTGAGAAATGCACAAAGACATTTGTTTACAGTACCATCACCTGTATAACCAGCCCCCAGAATGCGGTAGTCTGGTGCACAACAGTTGTTCATAATTATCACATTAAACTCTTGATCACAACTAAAATCTTTATAAAACCCCCACGCCATCCCAGCCGCTGTAGTTATTATTAATAATCTTTTATTAGCAACACGTTTTCTTGACTCATAAACCTCAAAATGCGAAAGATAAAAAAAACCAAACTTACGCTGTCTACACAAGTGAATGATTTGAACCTGGTATCAGAAAACACCGATGATGAAGAGGTCGCAGCCATATCGCCGACAAGTTCAATCATGTCGTCTACGTCGTCATTATTAGATCCGATTGAGACTGCATCAGGCCTA